CTTTAGTTTAGTTTAGTTTTGTTTTGTTTTTGAGACAGAATCTCACTGTGTAGTTCAGACTGGCCTTGAACTCACTATGTATCCCAGGTCAGCTTCAAACTCATGATGATCCTCTTGCCTCAGCCTCCCAAGTGCTGGGATTATGGGTATATATCAACGAGCTGGACCATAAAATGTTTCCCCAGTAACTACATACATTTCTACAGTAAAAATTCTATACATTCCCAAGTCAAAAGTATTAAAACTATTTTGTCACTATTTCAGAGTGATTTTCTTTCCAATAATTTAATGAGCAACAATAGTTATTGAGCACTTGGGGCTGGGGATTTAGCTCAGCGGAATAAGCGCCTGCCTTGCAAGCAGGCAGTTGTGAGTTCGATCCCCGGTACCGATAAAAAAGGAAAAAGACCACAAGAAAAAAAAAAAAAAGTTATTGAGCGCTTACTATAGTGCCATGGCTGTTCTAAATGCTTTAGATATACTAACTCATTTGGCCTTTATGCTTCTCACACAGGTCCCATTTCTATGCCTGTTTATAAGAAGGGAAAAGCATAGAAAGGCTACATAAAATCAACCAAAGAAACAAATCTGTTAAATGGAAGAGCAAGAATTTAAACTCAAGAAGTCTGACCTGAATACTGACACTCTACCCACTATATCAAATCAAAATAGACTTCAAAAATACTACTTTTCTCATTTCTATGAAATCTCTGAAGAACGGGCTCTGGTGGCCCACACTTATAACTCCTGCACCCAGGAGGCTGGGACAGAAGGACCACCTCAAGTTCAAGGCTAAACTGAACTACAAAGCAAGACCCTGTCTGAAAAAAAAATCTCTGAAATATGAAAATTCATAGAGACCAAACAGCAGATAAAGGCCTACCAAGGACAGGGTGAAAAGAATGGGGGTAGCGGGAAGAAAATGGAGCACAGTTTCTTTTGGGGTGACAAAAATCTTCTAAAACTGACTGTGGTTGCACAAATCCGTGAATATAACAAAAATCATTGGGTTGTATGGGGCTGAGGGTGCAGTTTAGTAGCAGTGAAATGCTTGCCTGGCCTGAGCCCAGCACCACAAAAGGAGGAAGGCAGCTGTGGTAGTGTACAGCTGTTATCCCAGCACTCAGAAGGCTACTGCAAGGAGATCAAGACAGCCTGGCCTATTACACCGAGTTCAAGCCAGACTGAGTTACATATTGAGACCCTGTCTCAAAATAAAACCCAACAATGAAAAAGAACCCACTGAATTATACACTTTTATTGAATTTCATATGAACTGTACACCAAAGTTCTTTTTCTACGTCGTTTTTTTTGTACCAGGAATTGAACTCAGGATCTCGTGCTTGCCAGGCAGGCACTATGCTTGCTGCTGAGCTATATCCCTACCCCCAAAGTTATTTCTTTGATGTCAATTTTTTACTCATAATTGAATTCTCTTTTTTTTTTTTTCATTCCAAAAACTAAAACTATTTAGAAAAAGTGCCCTCAAATGAAGACTTATTGAATTTACTAGTTGCTGTGCCATCTGCTCATTAAAGAAACCAGTCCTTTCAGTCATGGATCCTCCTTTACAAACTAGGACTACAGGGCTGGGAATTTAGCTCAGCAGCATCAGTGCCTGCCTTGCAAGCCCATAAATTCAATCCCTGGTACAAACACACACACACACACACACACACACACACACACACACACACACGGACCACAAAGTAAAGAAAATTTTCTTATACAAAAAATATCAAAGATTTGATTGGCTTAGTTTGTTTTGAAGCTGGGTCTCACTTTGTAGGACAGATTGGCCATGAATTCATTTTGTAGTCCAAAATACCTATATTCTCAGCACTCCGGGAAGCTAAGGCAAGAGGATGACAAGTTTGAGCCTAGCCTGATCAACTTAAAAAGACGGAGTTTCAAAAAAGGGAAAGCAGGGAGCCTAGGACACAGTTCAGTGTAAAAGTTCTGAGCACAATCCCAGTATAGGGGGAAAAAACCCACAAGCAAAACAAAAAATTGGCTCCTCAATACAGTCTAAAGTGCTGTTTTACTTTTTCCTAGATATACAATGGAAATAAAATATTCATTTATGACTCCTTCCTAAAGTATATTCTACTATCTAAATTTCCTTTCACAACAATAAAAGCTGTAATTTTATTTGGGGAAAAATTAAATCTATTTCAAAGTTGGCACAGTTTTCAACTTTCATTTAAAAGACACATAAGAGAAACAAACTAGATTATCACAGCCGGGATGCATGATCTCAAAAACATACAAAACACAGTCTCTTACTGCCTAGATTAATATTAATGCTCTTCTGTTAAGATGGCAAGATGCCTACTTGAAAATTTGTTGTCAATTTTACTTGTAAGTACCAATCTTACACTGGGTAAAATGAAATCACCCTTAATTTCATGTCCAGTTTATTAAACATGCATTTAAAAATCTGTATGCCATTCATATATCTAAAATATTGAGAAAATTTTTATTTGCATTTTAGTTAAAATGATATGTGAACAGACTAACTTAAGACAAGATGTTTATTTTTCTATTTATATTTGAGACAGGGTCTTGCTATGCAGTTCAGGTTGGTTTTGAAACTGCTACATAGGGGCTGGGGATTTAGCTCAGCGGCATAATCACCTGCCTTGCAAGCAGGCGGTCGCAAGTTCGATCCCTGGTACCAATAAAAATGAAATGAAAAAAAAATAAAATAAAATAAAATAAAAAAGAAACTGCTACATAGCCCAGGATGCCCTTGAACTCTTGGTAATCCTCCTGCCTCAGCCAAGGTACTGGGACTACAGGCATGCACCACCATGCTCAACTAAAACTAGGTATTTTTAAAAACTATGCAAACATCATAGAATTCATTTCTTAAGCCTTGACATGTGGATAGACAGATTTTTTTCCTCTATTCTCTTAGGATTTGTGTATTAAATCAACCAAAGACAGGTTAACAACAAAAAGATTTCACAAGCACATGAAAGCATCACAAACACAAAGTAAAAATCATAAAAGAAAGTGAGATTTGTGAACTTGTATATCATTTTAACAAAGGTTTCTATAGCAGAGAAATGACTACACAGGGGAGGAAGATTTGGGGCTCAAGGGGCAATCAATTATGTCAAGCAAGCGCAAGGTCTTGAGTTCAATCCCTGGTACCAAAAATACCCCCAAAAAACCTAATGGAATTGATAAAGATTATCTTAGTAAGATCTATGTTTTGTTTTGTTTGTCTTTTTGAGTCAGAGTATCTTCATGAAGTTAAGGCTGGCCTTGAGCCCTCTTTGTAACCCAGGCTGGTCTCAGACTCACAAGGATCTTCTTGCCTTCAGCCTTGTGAGAGCTGGAATTACAGGCATGTGCAATCAAGGCTGGTTTAGTAAAATCTGTTTATGCAGACACAAGTCATGGCCACCTCCACGAAGAGCCTTTTATGATGATTCTGAAAACTCCTCTTCCTAGTATGGCAAAGGGGTTAGGCCACGAAACACCTTCATAAAGAGAAATTCATGCCTTGCGTTCAGACATATGGGGTGAAGGGAGAGAGCATTTTACACCTGTTGCTTCTCTATCATGTTCAGCTCAAAATAATCTTTATGGCAAAAAAGCATATTTGGGAGGAAATGAGCATTTTCTGATCCCTCTCATGCTCATGTAAAAATATATAGAGAGAAGTGTGCAATGCAACCCACCAGGATACCAATCACAGAAAAAAATTCATCCTGCAATCCACACAACTCAGATTACCTTAAGTTCCAGAAAATCAATCCAAGACTCACTACATTGAAAACTGTATGCATACATTTCATAAAGAAAATGTGCACTGAAATGAGCACAAATCCTAGAAGACCTCTCTATCATTATTTCACTAATACACAAAAAAGCCAGGTATGGTGGGTGGCACATAGCTGACACTCTCGGCAACTGAGGCAGAAGGACTGAAAATGTGGGCCCAGCCAGGGCCATGTGGCAATTTAGCCAGACACAGTATTTCATAACGGAAAACACAAAAAAGTGCTGGAGAGCTTAGTGCACAGGGCCTAGGTTCAACCCCCAGTCCTAACCAAAAGAGAAAACAGAGACAAAAAACACTAAAAACGTCTATTAACTACAAGTCAGAAGAAAAGACCTACTGAACTCTAGCAAAGGCAAATAATTTGCAAAGATAACAATGTTCTTTCACATATTTCACCAAGGCTGATTTCCAACTATAATATAAGGAAAACTCTGGAAGCATTTATACAGAAAGGAGAAAGATACAGAGAAAAATGTTTTTAATGTCAATGTTTCAAATCAGATTAACCGAACTAAATTAACAATATTGAGAAGTAAAAACAAAAGGAAAAGGAAAAGGAAATGGAAATCGGGTTCTGTGTGTGGCCTGAGAGGCTGACTGCTCTGGTCACTGTACACTAAAAAGCTGCTTTGAAAGTAAAAACACAAGAGAGGACTTGGAAGATATCAGCAATTAGGACCACACAGAGTCCGAAAGAGACCAGGAAAAATCAAACGTAAGAAGTAAATACCTACATAGTGTTTTTCACACATCAAGCACTATTCCAACTACTTACAGAATACAGTAACCCATACAAACTACTCTAACTGATAGCCATGTTTCATAACTAATGCAATCTCTTCTTATTTTTTCTTAACTCACTGCTTTTATAGAATTCCTGGAAAGCTCCTGAATTCTAAACTGAAAGTAAATTACACACTTTAAGTCCCCAAACATTTCAAAGTTGTAATTTTCAATCTCTTTGCTATTTTAACAGTTTATTGCTCCTTGATATCTCATTACATCATAAATTATCTTCAAGAGCTGAACCATCTAAAATCAACAGTAACCCAAGTAGACCTCATTTAACTGGGAATTAAAATCACTACCTTGTTGGGCTGAAATTCAGTTTGTATTCTGTTATTTCAATTAATTTTTGTATATTGAGTATAATCAGTGTTCTCGGTGTAAAATTCAATACAAATACCACAAGAAAAGTAATTACCTGAATTTGAATCTGGAAAAGACAAATAGCAAATATTGGTTTTCTGAAAAAGAAAACAAAAGCTATATATGCTGACATATATACACACACCAATAAAAAAAATAGGAATATAATAATAGAGTATATAGAACAGTATTTTTACTTACTTCTTTATCAGTAAGCTTGGAATGTTGAGGATAAATTACCTGAAAGAAGAGAGTTAAATTTTGTTAGACATGAACATTAGCAGGCTACAACGTTTTACTTGGCTACAGGCAAAGGACTTCAAGAAACATTACACAGCAACATTCACTGGAAGCTCTAGCAATTTGGGAGGCTGAGAAGGAAGGACTGTTTGAGCTTAGGAGTTTAAGGCCTGCTTGGGAAACAGAACAAGACCTCATTTAAAAAAGCAAACACACACACAATCACAAACTTAAGCAGTAAAATGAGAAGGTAGAACAACTGAGTAAAATTTACGTTAGGTTAAAAACATTTTTGAGTCAAAATTATCTCTAAGATTGGTAACATCACAAATTATCAAGAAAACTTTACCATCTGAACAACTAATAACTCAAAGTTTAACTTTTTAAAACCTATAATCTAAAGAAAACTATACTTCTGGCTATCTACGTCAGAAATAATTGAGCCAGGTGTGGTGGCTCACACCTGTAATCCCAGCACTCGGGAGGCTGAGGCAGGAGGACATTGCGAGTTCGAGACCAGCGTGGGCTACAAAGTGAGCTCAAGGCCAACCTGAACTGCATAGCAAGACCCTGTCTCAAAAAAAAAAAAAGACAAAAAAAGAAAGAATTTTCTGCCAGGTGTGGTGGCACACAGCTGCAACCCTAGGTCTGGGAGGCTGCAGCAAGAGGATCAAAAGTTTGAACCAGACTGAGCAATTTAGCAACATAGCAAAACCCTGTATAGATAAATAACCGCAAATAAATGAAAGGCTGAGGCCACACCTTAGTGTGAAAGCCCTAGGTTTAATCACAGTGAAAGAGGTGGGGGGGGGGGAGAGAGAGAGAGAGAGAGACTGAGACTTTCACTTGATTCCAGGAGCCAATACACATCACCAATTACTTTTTTTTTTTTTTTTTTTGAGACAGGGTCTCACTACGCAGTTCAGGCTGGCCTTGGGCTCACTTTATAGCCCAGGCTGGTCTCGAACTTGCAAAGATTCTATTGCCTCAGCTACCCAAGTGCTTGGATTACAGGAGACCAATTACTTAAGCTTAAATTTGGGCCAGGCATGGTGACACATTCCTGTAATCCCAGCACTCAGGAAACTGAGGCAGAAGGATCACTGTGAGTTTCCAGGCTGGTCTGGCCTATAAAAGTGAGTTCAACACCAGTCTGAACTGCAGAGTGAAACCCTGCCTCAAACACACACACACACACACACACACACACACACACACACACTCACAAACACACACAAAGGATAAACTGGGACATTTCTAGGTAAATAGATGTACCTTGAGACCATATTATTAACTGAAATAAACTAGGCACACATGTGTAAATATAGCATTGTTTCTCTGATATGAGAAATCAAAAAAGTGATATTGTGAAATAGGAGGGAAATGTTAAAATAAGAAGGGAACTAGGGAGCGGGAGGGAAAGGAAGGAAGGCAGGGAAAGAAGAAGGGAAAAATGGAAACAAAGCTTTTGTAAATAAGGGGGAAAGATGCGTTGAAGGGAAAGGGAAAAAAAGAATCAAGTTATATCATGTACAGGTACAAATTTCCTATGATGAATGTGGTCATTATGTATACCTAAAGTTTACCAATAAACCTAATTATGTGCAAAAATAATTGTACTTTTGGAAATCTCAAGGATTATCTTTAACCATAAATCCTACCCAATTCCTTTAAATAATCATGATGCACTCCCCTATACAGGTTATTTAGTACTTTGGTAAAATTACTAAAATTTAGTACTTGCAGTGACCACACCATCTTCCAAAGGGCAAATTCTTGCCCTTTGTCCCCTGTAAAGAAGCAGTGCTGAGGCATAGCAGCGACTGCCAGAACAAACACTGGTCAACATGCGACCCAGAAGCTTCCATCACATACCACTACGTCTGACCGGCCTGAGCTTAGCAGATAAGCAACGCATTTATCAACATGACAAGAAGTAGGTACTCAGTACTTCTGACTAGTTGACTAGCCTTATATAGAAGGATTTTCCCGGCACTGACAAGACTGGCTTCTACCCCATGGCACCACTACCAAAGACCAGTGGTTTTCAAAAAGGATAGTGGGGTATGGTGTTAAGGGCTGAGAGTCCGGCCCACAATACACACAATCCTGTATTCCAGAAAACTCTCTGCTGCTCTTATTTAACTCTTAATGTCTAGAGCATTCAGATACTAATAGCCAGAGCAGAGATGTGTGCCAGTGGTCCCAATCACTAAGTATGCACAGGTAGCTTGAACTCAACCATTTGGGACAGGCTGAGCAACTACAGCAAGACCCATAGTCTCTTACAAAAGAAAAAGGACAGTGGAACCCTAACCCTAACCTCTAATCCCATTTACTAAGGAAACTGAGGCACAAAAACGACAATTCAAATCTAAACTGGGCAACTTTGGTAAAACTGCTCAAAATAAAAAAGGTTGAGGTTCTAGAGCAGTGGTAGGGAGCTTGCCTGGCAAACAGAGGCCACAAGTTTGATGTGTAGGAGTGACAATCTAACAGGATCTGCTGGTTTGGAAGTTCAAGTGTGTCCACTAGAAGTTCGTCAGCAGGAAGCTGGGTCCTCAGCGTGGAGGTATTCAGGTGACGGAACCTTTAAAAGTGGGGTCCCACAGTGAGTTCACGGTCATGCTAAACTGCACAGTGAGTCTCAAAAAGACCAAAAAAAAAAAAAAAGTGAGGACCTCATGGCAGATAATCAGGTGTGAGGGCACCTGAGGAAGGACTAATGATGGTCTCCAGGAGTGGATCGATCAGTTCCTAGAAGGGGCTGCTGATGTAATTCTGCGACAGAATGTTTGCCTCGAATGCACAAGGCCCTGGTTTTGATCCCCACCACCACAAAAAGTAAAAGAACAGCCTGGCCCCTCTGTGGTTTCGTGCTTCCTAACTCACACTGAGACCTCTCATTTGTGTTCCCACCACAATGCCCTGTTGTCGTGCAGCCACAAAGGCCTTACAAGAATTGAGCGAGTGTTAGTGCCAGCTTCTTGAACTTCCAAAATTGAGTTTATAAACCTCTTTACTACCATGGTATCAGTTATTTTGTTATCTCAACAGAAAAAAGACTACATAATTCTCTGTGCATGACAGGTGCTAAACGTATTAAATGACCTACTCAAATATTCTCAGTCCTCCTATTATAATAAGTACCAAAAATATTTAATGATGCCACCTTCAAAACTGATGTTGTAGGGGCTGGGGATTTAGCTCAGCGGCATAAGTGCCTGCCTTGCAAGCAGGCAGTCATGAGTTTGATCCCTGGTACCGATAAAAACGAAAAAGACCAAAAAAACAAACAAACAAACAAACAAAAAAACTGATCCTGTATTACTTATAAAGATCTCTGTAATTAGGCACTAATTTATTAAATAAGTAATATTATACACTTAAATAAACTAGACCAAAGGGTAATCATTTCATTATTTTCAGAAACAGTAATTATAATAGTTTCTATTTATCAAGTGCTTCTCTTGTGATAACACATTGCACTACATCCAGCAATCAAGCCTCACAAATACACTGAGAAAGGGGAATTAACATCATCTCACTTCAGCATTCACCTGTGATTATGAGGTGTTACAATACCTAAACTCAGAAAATTCAACATATCACTGACATGGGTCACACTGGTCTGCGTTAAGACAACAGTTTTCTCCAAACAGAAGAAAACGTCTTGTGTGCATTTTGTAGAATATTTAAGAATTCTGTCATTTAAGGAGACTTTAACAATGCTAGAAGTATTTTATACACAATTCACAAAACAGATTTAGTACTATTACAGGTCTCAAAACAGCTTTAGTACTATTACAGGTCCATTAGCTAAAATGCTTGGGAGCACAAGTATTTCAGATTTTGGGCTTTTTCAAATTTTGCAGTATTTGCACTGACTTTACTAGTTAAACACACCACCTCCAAAATCAAAATTCAAAATGCTCTGAAAACCAAACCTTTACAATTTAAAAATATTCTAGTTTATGAAAAATAAACTTTTAAAGTTTCAGATTTTGGAACATTTTGGATTTTGTATTTTTGGGTTAGGGATGTTCAACACATAAGGTGAAAGACTTTGTGGATAAAAGCAAGCTGTCATTGTCAAATTAGAAGTTCAAGTTACCACTTGCATTTTACACATCTAATTTGCTTTAATTTTCTCTAAGTAATAAATAAAAGTGAAAAACAAATTCCCCAGGATAGCACAGTACAGTGGAGGAAAAAAATCATGCTTTAGTGGCAAAAGAAGTGGGTTCAAATCTTGGCTTATTAAGTGTGTAATTTGTAAAACACTAGTAGCTTGTTTTATTCTTGGAAGTTTCAGATTTCTAAAATTTTGAAGTTTAAAAACTCAGAAATACCCACATCACATCTCAACCAGGGAGATTTCAATCTTTAGGAACAGTCTACTAGATAGCATGGCATGTTTTATAATGTGAATTTCAGTTAACAGAAGGCAAAAAAAAAGTTCTTAAAAGAAAAAAGTGTGTAATTTGTGGCAAGTTATCTCTAAATTTCAGCTTCTTTATTTAAAAAGGCTTCCGTCATACCTGCCTGCAAATCCCAGCACTCTTTTTTTTTGGGGGGGGGCTTTTTTGTTTTTTTACCGGTACCAGGGATCAAACTCACGACTGCCTGCTTTTGAGGCAGGTGCTTATGCCGCTGAGCTAAATCCCCAGCCCCAATCCCAGCACTCTTGAGGCAGAGACAGATGGATAAAAAGTGAGATAAAACGAAGTTGACACCCTTAGTTTTTGTAATACCCATTTGTTTTCCAGTTCTCTTATTAAGAAACTACTAATAGCACCATAAATGAATGATATAGTAATGAAAAAAAAAACAGTAATATGGAATTATCAGAAAGCAATCAAACATTAATGGCCAGTCAGAAGTAGATCCACTAGCCTACCTCCCATCTGTCAACTAATCAAAATATCTCAAGTCAGTTGTCAAACTTTCTACCTCCAGACTTCTGTACCCTCTTAAGATATTTTTTTCAGGGGCTGGGG